CTTGATTTATTTAATTAATCGCATTAATGCGATTAATTGCCGGGATATCTATATCGAGGAATTGATCGTCGTACCCGGTCTCACGTGAGGTCCCGGCATCTAATTTTTATCACGTTATTGGACTCACAATACTCTTGTGTTATCAAAACTATATAAAAAAAAATATCTAAGATTTTCAGCTGCGACGATCGTTATCTGTCGAATTTATCCCATTGTTGCAAGTTTTAGGCAAAATCCGCCCATTATGTTACACGGTCAAATCTGTGAATTCGTAAAAAAGGTTGAATTTCGGATAAATAGCAAAATTTATTTATAATCGTTTATATTGGATTTCAGTATGATCAAAAATCAAGATATCAAAGGGAAAGCGTAATATTGTGCTTACGTTAGGGTTTGCACTATGGATTTAACTTTTACATAACAGGTAAAGACATTTGGAAAGAATAAAATTAAAGAAGCCAATTAAATGATTTAACGAATCAGGGGTTAAAAAAACTCGAGTTGTTTTTATCCGATATTTGTCTTAGGAGTTTACGCAGAAAAAGGTAGAAGTTTTTACGATATCAGCATTTACGATAAATAGAATTATCATTTCTCACAACATTATTTATGATTTGATTTGTTTCCACCTTCCAAGGGTTGGCTTTCATGTTTACCTTTATTTTCTAATTAAATGATTTGTTATTAAATGGATACGACAAAGCCAACTTTAATGCGATGTTATGTTAATATGAAGTACATTATCAAAAATCTATGTACGTACGTTTGTAAATCATGTCACATTGCTTTGAGAAAATTGAACTAAATGTATTATCACGATCGGTTGGGTGAATAATTCAAACATACCAATTTAGCAATTAATAACGATAGTTGGAAATTAACGAGAGGTTTATCATATTTCAATTGTCTATTACTTTATTAACATGGGCCACTAGATTTACATTATCAAGTTTATATAGATGTGACCTTTTGGCGGCTTTGAATTTCAACGTCAGCGTAATGTAACAGGAGTAAGTTTAATTAGTAAACAAGGGAATTTTCACCGAGTTGAAGTGTGCACATATTTCGGACGATAATCAATTAATTTTAGTTTCAAAAAATCTGTTAATATTGTATAATTTAGTTGCAACTGGTTAATATAAAATTGTTTCAATTATCATATTTCTTTAAACGCTGAATGCAAGTAACAGATGGTTCGATTTTTTCTTAATTTCAATTTTCTTTTCCACGAAACAAACAAAAAAAAATGGATATTCGTATCCGTTAAGAGATGATCAGAATAAAGAATCATATTACTATAGATGTAAAATTTGAGATCTGTCGTGGTAACGAGGATGACACCAGTATCTTCAAATCTTACGCTGATGATTAACAGTTTTAATCTTTACAAAGTAAGAGATTATTATAATATATTAATCATTATTTTTTTTAATGAGGTATCAAATGCTTATTAACAGTAGCAGATAATAAAATTGTATGTTTATTTAAACGTAAAAACTGATAAGAAAGAACTATGTTTTATAATGAATTTAATATCTTTAAGATATTTACATTATAACTAATGATTAAACAAAAAAATCGAGTTAATCATTTTTTTGGGTAAACAAGGAAAATTCGAATGCATCCTCCCCGTATTTATTCTTGACAAAGTCGCTGTTACCAAACTCTAACAAGTAACCAAGAAGTTCTCTTTGGACCTCTTTCTCGTCCTCAGAGTGACCTTCCTTGTCGAATCCCATTTTATTGTATTCTTCGTCAGATTTTCTTGAGACAGTATCGAGATCAGTTACTCCTTTAGCCCTCAAAAATTCCATAAGATCTTTATTCTTTTCTTCTTCGTAGCAGTCTTTCATGATTTGTGGAACAACTTCTTGATTGCCTGTATAATAAATCTTGACCTTTTTACCATTTTTCAATACTTCTGTTCGGAAAGTCTTGTTGCAGTTGCTGGTCACATATATCCCGGCAAAGCATCTTTCAAGCTTGGTGGAATCTTCGATGAGCTCAGTGATATTTTGGGTATCATTATTATCGTTTTCGTCTTTGACGCATAATACATAGTAAACGTTTTGAAAAAATAGAACGATTTTCATGGTCGATTGATTTTTTTGTTTACTAGCTGATCGTGAAAGTGTGACCGTGAAAGTGTGATCAATAAAAAAAAAATCCATCACGTTTATATAAAGAATATTCCACACCTTGTTGGGGCCCCCTTAAGTTTCACATATGGATCTACATATTGCATAAATCAATATGTAATTGGTCCCGGTCCAGTCCCTAAAAAGGTCTAGTTCAACCCCTGTCAAAAACAAGTCCAACCTAGTGGTTTACTATAGATTTTAATATACAATAACTTACCAATAAGATAGCTGCGCATTTAGTAAATATATAGGTTGTGGCAATTAGTGATGTGCCATGTCAGTACATTACAAAAATTTTTTTAGAATATTCTAGATTAAATCATAAAAGTATCTTATCTCGAATTTTTGATTATGTTGCATATAAATTATTTATAAATGCCACGTGTATTATGTGTATTACATATGCTATACGTACATATTCTAAGTCATTTCACGATTTAGGTCGATTGAATTTTGAAATGACCTAGATCATTTCTCAATCGGTGAAAAAATTAAAATTTATATAAAATTATAAGCCCAAGCGATAAATTATATAACCCAAGCAACAATAGTAATTATATTATTAAGTTCTTTTGCATGAAAAAAACAAACTTTTACATAAAGAAATCGAAAACTTATAAAAATTCTTTATTATAAAATTTAGCTATATTAAAAGAATGCTTTAATGCTTCAAAAAAAAAATCGTATAAAAAATGCGCAATACAAATAAATAATAAAGAATCCACATAATTAATAAAAAATGCACAATACAAATAAATAAAAAAACAACACAATAAAAAATGCACAAAAAATTACTGACAGGACAAACTTCGTCCCAAGGTCATTTAATCGTATAAAGTTCTTCAGTTGCACCAACGTAAATAATTTTAAAATTATATTACCTAATATTTAAAGTTTTGATTATATAAGTCATTGGGATTTGTTAAACAATGATTATATTTATTTTGGTCCATTAAACAGCGATTTTTTTTCCTTTGATGATTAAAAGCTTTTAATATTCGACCAAAGGTTTTACGCGTAACTTTCCATTTTAAGAATTAATAAGAAAAAAAGTTGTATTTATCGATAAAGTTAAACATTCAAAAAGTTTTATTTATTTATTAATTTTTATTTTTTTTGCATTAATTAATTTGACATACGTAATAATTCTGTTCTAATTGTTATTAAGTTTTGGGACCCTTCCTGAGCATGGGATGTGCCAAATAAGCACTGACTAATTTATTTATATATAATAAAGTAGTTGATATATATTTGTCACTCAATAATTAGTCACATCCTGAACCTTAAATTTCGTAGCGTTTCATTAAAATTGACCTGGGTATTTCTGAATCGGTGAAAATTATTAATGACCTAAGTCAATTCGAAATCGACCTAAATCATGAAATGACTCAGAACATACACATTATCAGACCCCGATTTGTCACGCCTTAAAAAGATATTTTGGAATTATTGAAATTAATTCCAAGAATAGTTGAAACTTGATATACGAAAAATTTTATATTTAAACAGAGTAAACCGGTATAACCACAAGCCTGATTTATTCAAATCAAGTGAAGCAGAAAGTTTATATGCTTTAATTGATTCCAATAACGAAAATACAGTAAACAAAATTAGGTAAAAAAAAGAATAGTTTCATATATGAATCACAGGTTTAAAAAACCATGATAATAAATAGAGAAATTGAATTTTATAATACTTCTTTGAACACAAGCATCTAATTTACTTTCTTTTTTTTTCATGTGTCAATAGACAAAAAGGTTCATAGAGTATAACGGTAAGTATAAGAGATCTCAAGATGAAGTCATGAGATTAGATCAACGAATTAGATAAAAGAGATACACCACTTCAGATATCTGCTATTAAGTGCGATTAAAATTAATTATATGAAAATCTATCATATATAAAGTTAAATTTAAAACCGATATAAGTCATAGACTTCTCAGTGACAGTAAATAAAGTCAAATTAGAAAAACGATAAGTCATAGGCTTCTGAATGACAGTAATTAAAAGTTAAATTTGAATTATATGTCATATACTAAGTAAAAATAACTAGAATACTGATATACCGCGTAATTTTGAAATTGTTCATATCCTACTCCTGGAACCTAACGAACGATATATCATATACTACTAACCACAATACCAATGTAATTCGGATCAATCGAGTGATAATGGTAATTAGAAATTTTCCTTATCATACACCTAAACTCACCCGAGATTTTATTCTTGCCTATTGTCTGGACTTAAGATCTTCGTATATGAGTCCTATAACCATAATATAACTTTTTATATGCTTCTTTTTTGTTTATTCTTCGTGGTTTTATTTTTTTAAAAAAGTACTTTAAACTGTATAAATAATGTAAAATTAAATTGATTTAAATAGCCAATTATACAAAAGCCTTCCTATGGTACCCATGTAGTAAATGTTTTTTTACGTTTTGTGTTATATGAGTACACGAGATCCTGCCCTCATCCAGATCTACATATCTGTGTAACATTACCAAAATAAATACTAATACACATTCGTGTAACAACAACAACAATTTTCGCGCTTTGACATCTACAGCCACCTGGACCTTGTATTTACGTTTCATTTTCTACAACTATCTGGACGTGATTTTCCTGTTATTTCTATTTTATTTTTACTTACGTTACGATGGAGCACAAGTAAGAAGAAACTTTTTTACATAATATATATAGTTCTGTTAACAAAATCCATGCTGTCATAGTGTAATTGTGATTAAGCTATTAGTTTTGTATTGCAGTAAAAAGTTCTAGACCTTATGATGAAGCATTTAAACGTTGAATGAAATTTACAAAATCATGCTTTTATAGTGAGAAAAGGTCGCCTATATCGTAATGAAATTTTTGGTTTACTGATTCCAAAGGAGGAATTGGTTATATTCAATGAGACATACCAAAAGTTCCATCTCCAATGTAGTAGTGCAAAGGTTTAAAATTTTCATGAAGCATTGAAATGTTGAATGCGTATGCATTAACGAGATAGATTTGTCTCCAATGTTGTAGTGATAAATTTTAAATTTTTCATGAAACATTGAAATGTTGAATGTGTTAGGCATTAACGAGATACCTTTTGAGTTAAAAATTTTTATTCGAAAGTTTATTTGTCTCCAATGTTGTAGTGACAATTTTAAAATTTCATGAAGCATTAAAATATTGAATGCGTTTGCATTAACGAGATATATTTATCTCCAATGTTGTAGTGAAAGTTTTAAAATTTCATGAAGCATTGATATGTTGAATGCGTATTGTTGTGTTCGGAAGTTTGCGACTCTGTCGCTCCACAATCCAATATCTCACGTAACGTACGATAAGTAACCTTTTCGAAAGAGGGTGTTAGATTTGGCTGGTGGGTGATTAAGGCTTTCGGTTACTT